CCCAGCCCCCGGCGCCTTCCCGCCCTCGGCTGAGCCGCGGCTGAGGCCTGAGGAGGGTCCGCCCGCCCCGCCGAGCCCCCTCAGCGCCTGCTGATCCCCCTCGGCCCCCGGGGCTCCTCATCCCCGCAGGGCCCCTCACGGCCGGCTGTGCCCATCTATCCCTCAGGATCCCGCTAAATCCAACACGTCCCTCCTGGCATTGCTCAGGCCCCCTGTCCCCTCAGCGTCTCGGTCACCCCATCGCCTCAGGTCCTGCTAAATCCGCAGGGCCTGGCTGGATCCTTCTGTCCCCTCAGGCACTACTAAATCCACCCTGACCCATCCTCTGAGGATCCCGCCAAATCCCCCCTGCCTGCCCTCTGAGGGTCCTGCTAAATCCTTTCATTCCCTCAGTGCTCTCAGGGTTCTCCCATTCCCTCAGCGCCCAGCTGGGTGATCCCAGTCCTTCTGGATCCCACTAAATCCTCACATCCCCTCAATATCTGCCTGGGTGCCCTGTCCCCTCATCCCATAAATCCTCTCATCCCCTTCAGTGCCTGGTTGTGTCCCTCTATCCCCTCAGATCGCACTAAATTCCCCCTTCCCCGTAGCAGCCAGCTGGGTCCCCCATCCCCTCAGATTCCATTAAATCCCTAATCCCACTTGCTGCCCCAGGACCCATCTCCTGTTGCAAGGGGAAGAGCTCAGGGAATTTTGTCAGGGCTGCCTTGGGACCTTTGGCCAGGCACCATGTTCTACGTCCATTTGCTCATCAACAAGCGAGGGCCGCTGGCCAAAATCTGGCTGGCTGCCCACTGGGAGAAGAAGCTCACCAAGGCACATATCTTTGAGTGCAATTTAGAGGCCACTGTACAAAAAATCCTCTCCCCAAAGGTAGGCTGTGGCATGAGGAGGGATCTCCTGGAGAGTCCTGGAGGTGGAGGTGTTGGCCTCTCGCAGAGAGCTCTGTTACTGCTGTGTAACATTTTAATGTTTTTGCCAAAAATACTAACTCCTGAACAACTTTTTTTTTAATATAAATCCTCACAGTTTGCTATAGCTCTGCGAACCTCTGGACACTTACTCCTGGGGGTGGTGCGGATTTACAACAGGAAAGCAAAGTACCTCTTGGCAGACTGCAATGAAGCTCTGACCAAAATGAAGACAGCCTTTCGCCCAGGTATACACAAAATTCAGAATTTTTTCATCTGTGTCCTCTCATTTTAAAAGTTAATTTTTTGATATTTCTGTTCAATACACATTACTGACCCCAAAGGAAACTGAATGTACTAGCGCCTACTGCTGGTCTGGCTTAATTTAGTGCCATTTCAGGTCTTTGACTCCCTTAACAGAAGCAGTATCTTAAGTGGGCTTACAAGAAGATGCTGGAGTTCAGCCTCCATTGCTAGATAATTAATTTTAATTTCTGATGACACCAACAACATGTCTAACAGTGTCAGTGCCAGACCTGACAGTGTTTTGAGCTCTAGCCATGCAGACAGGGAGAAGGGAGCTGAGATGACTGGAGCCTTTTCCAACAGCCTCTGTGTTTGTCATACTTAGGCAATAAATGGGAGGCACTGTTGTCTAAAAAAAAGCCTGAGAATACCAGTGTCTACTGCCAGTTTTAATGTGCTTTGTGACCTGGTCTGTTTGCAAAATAGTCAGTAATTACTCTGCATTATTCTCAAGGATATGATCACAGAATTATAGAATCACAGAACCATTTAGGCTGGAAAAGCCCTCCAAAACCCAGTCCAACTGTTCACCCAGCACTGCCAAGGCCACCACTAAGCCACGTCCCCAAATACCACGTCTTTCAAATCCCTCCAGGGATAGTGACTCCAGCATTACCCTGTGCCAGGGCTTGAAAACCCGTTTAGTGAAGAAATTTTCCTTAATATGCAATTGAAATCCACCGGCCATGACTTGTGGCTATTTTGGAGATAGATCCTATAGCAACTCGGAGAGTAGCACACAGCTCAGGAACACACAACATTCACCACTGCAGCAACAGAGACTTTACTTAGACAGAAGGGGGGAGAAGAATCTCAGCAGGAGTGGTAAAATGCTGAAAGAGGCTGTTCAGGGAGCTGTGAAATCTCCATCAACAGAAATAGACAAAAGTGATCTGACTTAGAAATTAACCCTGTTCTGAGCAAAAGGTTGGGTTGGACGACCTTGAGAAATCCCTCCTCACGTGAATTTTTCCAGGATTCTCTGATTCCCAAGTAATTGGCAGTCTGAGTACATAATTATTTGATGCTGGAGAACAGTGTTATGGAGACAGAGCAGAGGAAAGGAAAACACAGTGGTTCATTTGCAGTGTTGTGAAAAACTCTAGGCTAGACATCAGCTGGGAGAAGCTTCCAGGGACTTAAAGCAGCTGCTCAGCAACACAAGTACTTACATATTTCAGGTCCTGTTGCAGCAGACTCTTTTGTATCTGTCTGTAAAAAATAGATCATCTTAAGGACATGGAAACTGAAATTCCACTTTTGGGTGCCTAAGCTTTACCATTCTGTGATTTAGAATGGCAGCAGTCCCTCCTGACAGGTTTATAGACTTATTATACCTACATGGGAGAGAACACTACTTTTATTTTATTGATACTTATTTTGTTATGTTGTCTGTTTATTTCAGGGCTTCTTGACCTTCCAGAAGAGAACTTTGAGGCTGCTTATCAGTCCATTACATTACCTGAAGAATTTCATGATTTTGAAGCACCACTACCAGATGTAAAGTAAATGCTTCCCTAGTTTTATTCATTTTTTTAGAATTCCCAGAAGTAAAAGCTTTATTTGCTGTTATCTGATCGAGACTCAGATTGGGCTGTTTTGATTTAATAACTGAATCCTCCTAAATTCTGAGCTCTACAAGGCTACAGCCACAGGCATTGTGCTTTGGTAGTTTTCCTCAGTCCTTTAATCAACAGACTTTCACAATGGAATAAAGTCTTGAACTTAGACTTCAGGATTTTAAATTGTCTGAGTGAAGGATGCAAACAGCTTTCTGAACCTCAAGAGAAGAGATAAAAATTAGTATTAATCCTGAAAGATGTGGCCAGTAACCACACAGTGTTGCACTGTTCCACTGGGTAACTTCGTTTTGTTTCTGCTCCACTGCTCTCTGGGGCTGGGGTGTTTTATCAGCAATAGTCAGCCTGGCTCCTGAGAAAAAGCCAGCATATTTCTTAGGCTTTTTTGACACAAAGCAGCATTAATGTAGAAAACTGATAAAAAACAGGAGGCTAAATCATGTTTCTGATGGCTCTGATGCCCCAAAGGTCCAGGACAAGAGATTTCCACTGAGGGTTGCTCTGCACCTCCTCATAAATACAGTTTGATGGGATCAGTAAGGGTTTATTATTTTGTAAGTACAGCTGCAATGTAATACACTTTATTCAAGTGCCTCAGTGTGCTGACTCTGTAAAGGTGCCTTTTCTACCTGCCCAAAGAGTTGTGTAATTTGATTTAAAAGATGTTTCACTAATTAGTTGCCTTCTGACAAGGGTCTGGTAGGTACCAGGGCTTGGATGGGAACAAAATCACAAAAGCCTAAGTTTACTGGCAAAAGGGAGTGGAGAAATATGGGGACTTGTGATAAAATGCCAGGACTGAAGGCTGTGTAGAAACAAGTTTTCACATTCCAGCTGAATGCTCAATGAGTTTCAGTTCACTCTGTATTTTTATATTTTTTTCATCAGGGCCATTGACGTTGCTGAACATTTTACCTTGAATCAGAGCAGAGCTGAAGAAATCACACTTACTGAGGATTATGAAAGCAGTATACTTCTCTGTGAGAGAAACTTTGGTGAGAGAAGTTGAGAAATTGGAGATATTTCAAAAGGGGAAGTGTGTTTTATGTGAAACTTTTATGTGAGCCCTTTCCACATGTAAAAAAGCTGTGATTAAAGGTCCTTTTGTTTCATGCTTTTGCTGATTGGCCTATCATGCTGTGTTAGGTTTAAATTTTTGTGTGAGCAATATAATCTGGTGTCAGAGACTGAGAACCAAACCAAACATTTCCTGCTTTTACTAAATTAGATAACATTGTTTATTCTTTATTCCATTTGAGGTATGGGATGTCTTGCAATCCTTTAAAAATGACTTGAAAAATTAGGAAATTTATACATCTGGGTTTACAAAACTCACGCAGATGAGGGATGAGGAATTGTGTGTTCCCTCAGATGAAGAAGCAGAAGCACTGAGGAGACAGAGCTTCTTTGAGGGCAGTGTCCTGACGAGCAGTAACAGTCTGGTGGCCGATCCCAACTCAGCCAGCACCAGCGGAGACAAATCTGTGCTGCACGAAGATGTTTACTGCTTCCAGGACGACCATTTTGGGGATGAGGAAGATGCTGTAGATATGATTGGTAGGGTTTGCCACAGGCAAACAGAATTGGTTCCTGTCCAAATATTTTTATTCTTACAGGAAAACAGTCAAGACAGCACCAAAGCGATTGTTGTCAAACATAAGTCCTATGTTATTTGTTGTTTTCGTACATATATTTTTCCTACCTGTTACTAAGTCTATGATCACTTAGACACTGCCAAGTCAAATTGGTTTAAAGGCTGTATTTCATTATTTTAGAATTAAAGGCATTAAATTTATGCTTAATGTTTAACAATTTAATTTCTGTTTTCAAAGCTGAAATAGTATAGCATTTTTATCCTTACTATTGTAATAACAAAGGCAGCAAAGTAGTTTCTACATCATTATGGCTTTTATGTAAACCTTACAGATTGATACCTGTTAACACTATCAAGGCCATATTTACAAAAAAAAAAAGGTGGAAATCTCCAACTTGTGGCTAATCCCCTCCTTTGTGTGCTGTTGCAGACAGCCGTACCACTGACAGCCATCTGCAGAAGCTGAGCTTGCTTTCTTTGCAGAGTGTTAACCTTGACGAACATTAGGCTGTGTCAGGCTATTTCATTACTACTAAGGCTTAGAATGATTAAAACTATGTGCTTTGTATTTAAGAAATCTTGTTGAGAGATGAGCAAAATGTCCTAGATAAAGACATTCTTGATGTGGAGGAAGCACGTCCTTTGTCACAAGATCTGCCAGAGAACAGCACAGCCAGTGAGTTTGCAGTGTCTGCTCCATCTCACATAAACCCTCTGTTCCTGTTGTTAAAGCCTAATGTCACTCACATTCAGCTTTTTGTAGTATCCTTGTGCCTTTTTCCTTTCTTCATTTATTTTGCTTTTTTTTTTTTTTCCTAAACATCCACCATTTTAGGATAATTTTGTTTGATTTAAGGATTCCAAATTTGTAGCTTTGTAGCTTGACATTGCTTAGAAACACCTTCATGTGACATCCTGTTGGATATGCTGTTGGTCCACCCTGCTGCTCACAGCATGATGTCCCTTTTGAGGGGGAAAGAAACCCAAATAAGGCTGTCCTGTAACAGTGAACTTTCTTAGTGAGAGCTTAAAAGGTCTTTTCCAACAGAAACAATTCTGTGCTTCTATTTCTGGCTTCATATTTCTGCAACAAATTACACTTAAGTAACTCATAAAGGTGTTGTTAGTCTTCTTTTGGTTTGATACTGATTAAAGAAATTAAGCTTTGATAACTATTTCTGAGAAATTTTTGCTGTCTTAAATCCTTACTCCCTCATCAGAGTGTTAGTTTAAAACAGAGAATTCTGGAACAGCTTTAAAGGATAGAGTGGCTCTTGCCTCTCCTTGCTCTGTTGCTGGTGCTACTTGTTCCTTTTCTGTTGACAGAGATGTCCCCACTTGCCTGGAACTGGAAAAGATAGGGATTGAAACTAAACACCTTTGCCCCTAAACAATTTCTGTTGTGTGGGCATTTCTCCAGATCAGTTCTTCTGTCTCTGCTATGGCCTGGTCATTCTGGGATCAGTGAAGGGAAGTGTAGAGTATGAGAGTATGAGAAGGAACTGGTGAACATAAGTGAGATTATAAACAAAACCACAGTTTCCTATTTCTTGCTGTTTTTGTCTGATATTGTTGTCTGTCATGTGATTGAGAAATTAGTCCATATTGGTTTTGTTTTTTTTTTTAAATTTGGGTTATTTGCTGGGTTTTCTTGCAGTTGAGTCCAACTGTGGAGACACCACCGCAGAGGATGGAAATCACACAAAGAGTGAGACAATCCTTTTGTTCCAGGAAGAAGGATTTGTGCTTGAGCCAGTTGATGATACAGGTCAGAAGTTGGTCAGCTTCTGGTGAATGTTTGCATTAACTTTTTTGGTTTGCTTCTTAGTAGTGAAAACTTGCAATATAGATTATTCCCACCTTAGATTTCATCTGCTCCTGCTGTCAGAGTTCCTTTTTACAGTAAATATTATACAAACCCAGTGTCAGGTTATTTATCTCAGCTGCCTGAATTTCTGCTTGTAGTTTCTTCCATGTACCAAATGAAGTTTTGATGCTTTTCAGCTCTGGTAGCATTGCAAGCTTGGCCTCCGGGGTGGTACTGAAGATTCACCTGAAAAACTTTAATTGCCAGTCACACATCTTAAATATAAAAGTCACAGTGACTTTTATATTTAAAATCACAATCCTAAAACTTTCAAGCCTTTGGAAAACATTGGTTTGTGTACTTTTAACAAGATCCAAGGTGAAGAGTATTACATTTCCTCTGCAGAGAAAATCTAAATGTCCCCTGTCACATTGGTGGCTGTTTATGAATAAGCAAGCTCATGTTGACAGCAATATTTACAATATTGGAATTTTCCGGCCTGCCCAAATAATATCCAGGAAGTTATGGCTATATAACTAATCTGTGTCTTTCTTTTGTGTTTACATTTTGATTAAATTGCTAAAGGATTAAACTGACAAATACAGATATTAATTATGAGGTAATGAAACCTCTTGAGTGCATCAGCAGTTCCTGGAGCACTTAACTTCCTCATGGATTAAAGACAGCTTATTCAGTCTTGTTGCTCTATCATGTGTTCTCATTAAGTTGTCCTGTACCCAGCTCTTTATTAAAAGAGCTTTATCATTTGTCTTCCACAATTAAACATAAGGGAATTTCCAGTAAAAGAGTACAAAGAGTGAAAACTTCATAGAAGCTTTTGAAGGAATGCCCTGTGCACTTGTACTTTGATTTTCAAGTCTAGGCAGTGTTCAGAAGGTCAGCAGCCAGGTTGATTCAATGGTTGATTTTGTGTATGTAATATCCTAGGAATAGACCTTAAGACTTGTTATTAATACTTGCTTTATGTAGCTGTCACCCAGAGGAAGAAAAAACAAAGAAAGAGGAAGCTGCTGGTGGATGTAGAGAAGGAGCTCAGCTGCCAAACCATTTACAAGCAGCTCACCAACTGCACTGACCTCCTGGCCACGCTGGACCTCGCTCCCCCAACCAAGAAAACAATGATGTGGAAGGAGTGGGGAGGTGTGGATAAACTCCTGTCCCATTCTACACAGCCTATGCTTCATGCTCAGCTGCAAAAGGTAAACATCAGTTCCTTGTGGAGTCTATGCCACTGTGTAGGTTCCAGGATTGTTGCCGAGCTGGGATCTGACTGAGAGCGGTTTTGCAGACTCTCTTTGATCTGAAGTTGGGGCTGGCTGCAGGTGTGCACTGAGCATTGCTCTGGAGTACAGGTCAGCTGGACACCTGATGGTTTGCACACTCACCACTAACGGTTTCATCATCTGTGGGGTCACAGCCTTAACCTCCTGCACTCCAACAAGAGAAAAATTACAAAAGGAACATGAGAGCTGATGTTTCATTTCACACACTGGTGCCTGACTGATCTTCTACTGAGACACAACTTTTTACTTTTCTGTCCATTTCTTTTATACCTTCTCCTTTGTTGTATTGTTTTCTGGTTTATTTCTTCTTTGTAATCAGTTTGAGATATCTTTTGTTTACATTTACTTTAAAGGTACATCAGACATTATTAGTAGAATATTGCTAATGGATTTGGAAGGGTTCACTGCAGCAGTGCAGCTTCACCACTTAGAGTCCAGCTGCAGAATTACAACTTGCTCTTTAAGAAGATGAAAACTGCAGATGTTTTTTTCTTTCATCTTTCCTTACTGGCTGGCTTCAAGAAAAATGACTCAAGCTGCTCCTAAATATTTATTTTTTTTTTCACGGAATTCATGTCAGAGCTGCAGAAGGCTATTGCTTAAAAAAACCCAAAAAAATTGCAGATTTTCAGAGTGACCTAATTCAAATACTGAAATTCTGGGTTGCAGTCATTAACATACAGCTCGTACTCATATTTTGTGTTGATGTTTGTAAATAATCTGACATGATATTCTGAAAGCAAACAAAAAATAATTATTTTCAGTTGTTTGAAAAATGCTTCAAGACTGACAGATTTAAGATGAGAGCAAATGGAATACAGAGGGTGTCTGAAATGAAAGAAACGAGAAAAGAGCAAGATACTACAGGTAATATTTTAATTCTGTTGTGAAGAATTAGCTGTTTGAGAGTATTTTCTATTCTACATAGTGTTTGAGAGACACAAGAGGTGTTAGTGTGCAGTATTACACAAATTACTACTTTGCTGTTCTTTTGTTTCTTAGAAATTAAATGAAATCCAGGTCTTTTCTTCCTTGTGGCATAAGAAGATATTTTTGGTTTCATCTTTGGTTTCTCTAATTATCTCTGAAACTGCAGATTTGGGTAAAGCTGCTTGTGGGGTTTTTTTCAATATTATTTAAAAAAATAGCTTCCCACTTGTTCTAAGCTTAATCAAACTTCTCTCCAAAATTCCAAATTAATGTAAATAGTTCTACTTCTATCTGGAAGATGTGTTTGGTTAATGTCAGGCAAGAAGAAATGTTCCATTTTAGACCTTCTGAGAAGGATATATCCACTTTCATTCCTTTGCTCTGCTGGGAACCTAACCTGCCTCAAAAATTAATTAACAAACCCACCTCCTGTGAGTCTATAAAGGTCAACTTTCAGAAAAAGAAAACCTGCCTTGGAAGGTTCTTCTTCCATGCTCCTGTTGGGAATGATGTTTCTTCAATATTTGCTTATTCTGGCTCTTCCCCTCAAAGACTGTGAACTTGTGTGTGATTTTTGGTTTTCAGTGGGGCTTTTTTTTTTTTAAGGATGGTGATTCACAGTAATTTCCTCTTCAACCTTGGTTTTCTATTAATACAGAGATGCTGCCAGAAGAAGAGACAAGTTACCTGCAGAAGCCAGCTCATTCCGAGACTGGGAGAAAAATTAGAAATGATTCCTTTACATTGACATCACAGAATGACAGAAATGAAAGCAATGACAACTGTGGTGAAATTATAGTGAGCAGTTTTCCTCAGTTTTAGAGACCTAAGTGTGCCTATTGGTTCCCCTTTTTGCTAAGGTTCCATTTCAGAAATTACTAATGTTTGGAAAGGATGCTAAAAACAGTCAAGAGAGCATTAAGTAGCTTGTGTGATGAAAGTTTATTTATAATTTGGTAGACTCCCACAATGAATGAATGATTAATTAAAATGTTTATTAATCAGCATAGATTACAGTTTAATCACTATGTATAAATGAGAGCTTAATATTAAATATGAAATATTGTACTGAAGAGACAAATATAATCTTTATAAAGGATAAAACTTATATTTTGTGTGTCATATTGAGGAAATACTTAAGAAATATCTCTTCCATCTTCACTTCTGCTAAATGGTATTCTTTGGAGAATATGAGGCTCATTAATGTTGAAAAGTGATGAAATTGGAGCTAATGTTGAAAAGTGATGAAATTGGCATCAGAAAATATGTGCTCCATGCCTGAACTCTGCCCATAGGTTTAAATTCATCTTTAGATAAATCCTGCAGCAAGGTCCTTCCCTGTATCCGGAAAGACATGGTAGAAATAGCAGCTATTAACTCATTTGGAAAAACTTCATTACAATGAATTCTTTGAGCAGAACTGTGTAAAGAGAATTGCACTGTGTGCATAAATGGTCAGGACTAGTGATTGTCTTTTTCATGTTCACAGGAGGATGGAGCAGCTTTCTCCGAGAGCTCAAAAAATTCCCTGAACCAGGAAGCTGAAGCACAGCAGGTGGAGGTGTCAGAGGTGAGTGTCCTAAGCTGATGGCCTTGCCTTGTTTCAGAAGAGAACCCTGTTTCTTAAAAAAAAAGCATCATGAACTTACAGGGAGTTTTGCTTCCTGTGAGAAGGAAATAATTTCTTCAACCTTGCTGGTTCTGAGGATGCTCAGGTACTCTGAAACCAGGGCAGTGAGCTGCAGGCTTCAGAGGTTAAGCCCAAAATCCCAAGCCAAATATTTGAATATCTCTTTAAGCTCCTGGCCAGTCCAAATGCTGTCAGAATCCAAGTCCCACAGAGCAGTACCTGGCTGTGGAGCTGCCTCACTGGGACCATGTCTATGCTGCACCTGAGCTACAGAACAAAGCACACAGGTTCTTTCCTTTGTTCCACACAGCCTTGTATGAGCACAGAGGTGTCAGAGGCTCCAGATTCCCTGAGTTTGGCCATCCAGATATCCAGCTCCATCTGGATTTTCAGCCTGGAACTCCTGTCCTTTTTCTCGTGGTGTGTGACTTTTTCCACACCCTGACTAACTTCCTGTTTACTTCCTCTCAAGGAGCAAACAACGACTGGGAAAGACAATGAAGAAATAAGATGGGGCAAAAGAACTCTTCGGCTACAAAGAGCTTTACAGGTACCAGTGCTGGATTTTGTTATTAGATACCAAAAGCTGGTGTTGATTTCAGCTGGACCATGTTAGAAAAGCTCTTCTTCCTACTGTCCATTGTGTCTCTGCCTTTCACTGGCAGCATGTGCTTTTTTTGGTATTTCTGTGGAAAATCAGACTTCTGGGTGCTTGATGTGTGGTGTTCCTTTCCACAGCTCCTGGAATTACTAGAGTTTTCTGAATGCTTTTTTTCTTGAATGTATTTCAAAGGTTCTGTGCAAATAGTAAATAAATATTTACACCTGAATACAGCCTTTAAAAAACAAGAGATAACTGAGCCCAAAGAATTGCTCAATTATATTTATTGTTATCAATCACAAAGCATGATGGAAGCACTCCACTGATGTAATGGAATTCAGTGGAATTGTAGATTTTAGTAACACACATAAGTACCAACACTATTATGGTGTTAAAATACTAAGAGTCACTTCTATAATCACAGATGGAATGTAGCCAGAGAGGTTGTGGGCTCCCCATCTCTGGAAGTGTTCAAGGCCAGGTTGGATGGGGTTTGGAACAACCTTGTCTGGTTGAAGGCGTGTTTAAGGTCCCTTCCAACCCAAACCAGTGTGTTCTTCCATGATTCTATGGAGATTGGATCCTATCTGAGGCATTCAGGCAGAGATATTCCCTCTATGCAGTGCTCTCTGTTTGGACTCCATGGGCTCCAGTTTTACTGGTAGAGAAGCTGACCTGACTGATTTCTCATTTCCCTCACACAGCAACTGAAGAGATCAGGCGTGTGTTCCTTCAGTTTCCGGGAGCTCTGCCGGAGAAACAACCGGAAAGAAGCTGCAGCCACATTTTACATCTTCCTGGTGCTGAAGAAGCACCAGGTCCTCGAGCTGCGGCAGCCCGAGCCCTTCGCTGACCTCACCGCCACTGCTGGGCCCATGTTTGACAAGATCACATAAACTGATCAAAATACAGCTTAGGTTGCATTTTCCAGCAAATTGTTTTCCTGGAAAAAGAATGGAATGCCTTGTCAAGCTGTGGGAGATGAGCAGAGCTCCCTGTCCTCTACACCACCCAGTCATGGCTGGTGCAGGGGTCCTGCCCCAGGTGATCACTACAGGGCTTATTATTAATATTTATAGTTACATGATGAGTTATATTATAGTTATACAGTGTGTTAATAAAATACCATTAAAATATATGTTCTACATAAGAGATTTACATTGTGAAGGATTTTATGAAAATCCTCAAAAGAATTTTATAAAAATCCTCAAAGGAATTTTATAAAAGTCCTTCAAAACCTTTCTCAGGGACTACTTTTGAAGCTTAAATTATTTTTTACAAGTCTTGTGTCTGTTAATTTTCTAATACCATCAGTAAGTTATCTGTTTAGTCTCTGTAGAAAAAAAAAATTTAGACTATTTAGAATTGTTCCTGTCAAAGACTGCTCAGTATTTCATATTTTAAGATCTAGCAGGGTAGTGTCTCCAGTGTTGCTTTTGTGTGTTCAGGCAGACAGAGGTTACACTGGCCGTACAAGAGTCCAGAAGATGCAGCAAGAAATTCTATTTCCTAGAAATCCTGCATTTTCAGATTTCACAGAGCTTTTTAACTTATTGACACCTTTATTCATGTGCAGATGTATTTAAAAATTGATGTTAACTGAAATATTATTAGTTCTTTGCATTTTTATCTAATTTAGGATAAATTTTATCCCTTTTACTGTCATTTTCTGAAGCTGTTGGTTTCCAGCTGCCTCCCACCTGGAGGAGGGATGATTGTGCCCCACTCAGCTGCTTCGGTGCTGTGGGGACATCACTGTTCCTTCATGTGGAATCAATAAAAATCAGAAGATGTTTCCTTTGCTTGTTGGTGTTTCTTCTGAAGGATCAAATCCTATGGCTTCATCTCAGGGTCAGGGGCTTGGTGGTTTTACTTTAAATGGGAAAGGATGGGTGATGCTGTCACCTGACTTCCAGGTGTTCACTCACCTCAGTGACACCCTGTTTCTCTGGGCCCACTAATGTGTGTGGCTCCTGTCCCAGAGGATTTGGGGAGGTTTGGTTTTGAGGGTCTGTTCAAGGGAGTAAAATGGCTTTAAAAGAGGTGAATCCCCAGTGTGGGGCATGGAGTGGCCACTGGCTGTGGGGGTGTTCCAGATGAGTATCCCTTCTGAACAGGAATATTTGATTAAATAAATATTGGGCCTTTGCTGCTGTTCTCGGAGGGGTTCCTTTTCTGGGTGTAAGGAAGGGAAAATCATCCCTGTATGGTAAAAACTTCTCAGTTTTCTGCAAAAGAAATGCTGGTTTGGGGTGGGAATAGGAACAGGGCTCAGGCTAAGACTGGAACCAAGGGCAGCTCATCTTTTCTTTATAGCAGGCCTGGCACTTCCAAAGCCAGGTGCTGACCTGGGAAAAGGGTTTGGGTTTGGTGAAAACCTCTCTCTTCCCCTGTAGCAGGCCCAATCTCCCTGGAGTGGTGTTCCCACTCTTCAGGTGAGAGTATCCTGGGAGACCAAGCACTGCAGAGGGAAGGAGAAACCATTTTTCTTTCCCAAAAGCCATCAGGAATGACTCTGCATCTCACAGCAGAGCTGCTGCCTGTGCCACATGGTCAGAGCTGCTCCAGTGGCAGCAGCTGTGATAACTCATTAATTTTCCTTTCAAGGAGAGAGGCTGTGCGTTGGATTCACTGGGAAAGAGGGAAACAAAAGGCAGCTGGAGGCGGGCAGGAAAAAATGGGAGGCAGGATATATATATACACTGAAAACAGTCTGTGTGTTGGGATAAATGAGGTACAAATCATGCAGGAAATAGCGCTGGAAGAAAGACTGACATGTATTTACCAAACAGGTTTGTCAAAACTCTGGAATAACCATGGGGGAGTGACAAAGGGAGCTGGGAATGTCTGGGAAGCACAATGGGCCTCGGCTCCAGACCCAAACTGGGCACAGGCTCTACTGTGGCTGTGAATATTTCCCACATTAACATTTCCCTCCATAAATCCGTATGTGGATCCACACAGGCTGGATGTTTGTAGCACAGGCAGCGCATCTCCGATGCTCCTGGTCCCCACGGGGGTGTCCGCAGCCGACCTTGGGCGCTCCTGGCCGCGGGCACGGAGCCCCCCAGGAGCCGGGGCCCCGCTGCTCCCCGCGCAGGCTGCGGGACGTGGCGCGGGGGCTCCCCAGACGTTTCCTCAGCAAATAATTTGGGAAGGTTGATCTTGACAGTTACAGCAGGAAGCGTGTGGGAAGTGCCATGAGTAACCGGGCTGTGCTGGAGAACGGGACGTGCCGTGCCGTGCCGTGCCAGCCTCAGCCTCATCTCCCAAACCTCCCGGACGCCAGCCACAGCCCGGGACAGCAGCTCGGGGTGGCTGTTGCTGCTTCTCCACCCCAGCCCCGGCGATTAGGGCTGAGCCAGAGGGATTGAAATGGGGCACAGAATTCCGGTTATTTAATGACTTTACTTTATGAAAGCGCGTCACTAATTAGAGGCAGGGATCTCCTCAGAGCTGGACTGCTTAAAATGAACACTACAACGCTGGGGGGGGGACTCCAAGGGCCGAGTGGCCGCAGCGCGGGGCAGCCCCGGCTGCCCCCCTTCCCTTCCTCCTCCTCCTCCTCCTCCTCGTCCTCCTCCTCCTCCGGGGTTACACGGGGCGAGGAGCCCAGGGCCAGCGGGCACAGGGCACACCCGGCCCGCGGGCCTTCGCAGACGGGGAGGGACCCCAAAACCCGGCTGGTTTCTTTCCCTCCCTCCCTTCGCCATCCCTCCCTCCCTCATCCCTCCCTCATCCCTCCAGCGCTCCCGGCCGCCCCGCCGCACCCATGGAGGCCGGCGCAGGTGATGGAGGCGGGGGAGGGCGCGGGGTGCGGGGTGGGGCGGGGGGCACCGGGCACCGCACCGGGCACCGCACCGGGCCCCGCCGCCGCTCACCGTCCGCTCTCTCCCTTCCCCGGCAGGTCGCTGAGCCCCCCACCCCGGCGCTGCCGCCCCCGACATCGGCGGGGCCCCGCGCAGGTGAGCGGTGCGGGGCGCGGTGCGGGGGGCGCGGTGCGGGGCTCCGCGGCCGCCGTGACTCATCCCTTTCTGGCTGCAGATTCGGGCTGGGGGGAGGCGGGGGGCGCAGCCGGGTCTGCCAGCGCCGCTCCGCATCGGGGGTGGGGGGGGGGAGCGGGGGGGGGTTCCCGGGGCACAGGGTGCTCGGGGCGGGTCACGCATCGGGCCCGCAGCACACCCGCATTGCGTGTGCCAGACCCCCGCGGCACACACCAGACCCGTACTGCTGCACCAGAGCCCACGGCACCCGCTGCACCCATGCCTGACTTGCCAGACCCGTGTCTTATGTACCCTGACCCACACAGCAAAGCCACCTGGACCCCCACCACACCCACCTGTCCTGCTTCACAGCCCTGGATGCATGTGACATGCACTAGACCCAAACAGCAGCATCAGGCACGCATTGCACTCACCAGACCTGCACTGCACTCGCCAGACCCACATCTCATGCACCTGACCCACTTCACGTGCACCAGACCCTCCCTGCACACCCCAGACCCACATTACATACACCAGACCCTCCCTGCACACCCCAGACCCACATTACATACACCGGACCCTCCCTGCATCCCCAGTCCCACATCACACCAGACCCATATCTCATTGCACCAGACCCTCCCTGCAAGCAGTAGACCTCACTGCAAGCACCAACCCCATGGCACATGGATCAGACCCACATCACGTGCACCAGACCATCCCTGCACACCCCGAACCCTCCTTGCACGCCCCAAACCCACATCTCATGCACCAGACTCTCCCTTCAAGCACAAGCCCCATATCTGCTCATGCAGCATCCCAAAGTGTCTCCGGCACCATGGGGTATTGCAGGAGCTGGGGCTGCTCTGCAATTGACATTTTATTATTTAATGGCTTCATGCTCCATCTCCGAAGGGACACAGGAACACCCCAGCGGGTTGATGAGCCGGGTGCTCTGTTCTCTCCTCCCCACAAGGTCAGCGCTGTGGCTGTCGCACAGAACCCACTGCTGGCTGTCTGTTCTGCTTATAAAATCCCAGTGTTCCCACCCTCTCTGGGCAACAGGCACGTTGTGCTGTGACCGTGTGCCAGACGACGCAAATCCTGGTGTCCGGGGGTCGCAGGGTGGGGGTCAGAGGGGCAGTGCCCGCACTCCCATCTCGGAGGAGCTGCAGCGGGCTGAGGCAGGAGATGTGGTGTGTGGTTAAAGTAGGCCATTCCAGCGGTGTGGAGAGCAGGGCTAATCCCCCGGCACCGCCGTCATTCCAGCCCTCGCTCAAGGTGGATGGTGGTTAGGGGAGACCTGCTTCCGCCGCGCCGAGGCACGGAGGGGAGGCGGAGCTGTTGCACTGGAAGCTGGGTTTGTCTTCCAGGTTTTTTGCCTTTGTATCTCGAAGGAGTGGGCTGTTCCTTCTGCTTCACACAGCTCAGCTCGGCTCCTGCCAGAGCACCTCTGCAGGATGGGCTGTGCAGTGGGATGTCACCTCCATCCCATCCTGCTGACCTTCCTGGGCCGGGGTGAGACCACGGGGTCTGCATCCTGAATGTCCCACTCCTGTTCTCATGCTGCTACAGCACTTGTCATGGAGCTCTTTTCCCATTTCTCTTTGGCTCCAGAGTCCCTAGCGAGAGCCCAGCCTTCACCCTCTGGTCAAGCACCTTATTTTCAGTTGATGAGGGCTGGGAATTGCCACCTCCCTATTTGGAGTTGCAGCCAGGTCAGCTGGAAAAGTGATGAGCTGCATAACCCGAGCTTTCCAAATGGTGTCTGTTTTCCTGTAATCTCTGGATGTCAACTCAGCGTTTTATAACAAACAGGAGAATAAAAGGAGATGCTCCTGCCTTTTGGAATGGGATACAGGCACTCTTAGCAACATTGATTTTTCTGGTGGTGTTGCATAAATACCCCATGGGGTTTGTCTCTGCTTGTGCCCCGAGCACTCGGCTCTGCCCTGAGCTGGATTTAGCAGTGGCTTGGGCAGTGCTGGGTTAGCAGTTGGATTTGAAGGTATTAAAGGTATTTTCCTACCTAAATGGGTCTGTGATTCCATGATTTCCCGCTGCCTGGGACCCAGGTGAAGCTTTGGGATGAACCCATCTACACTGGAGCAGAGGCTCCCAGCCTCTGGAGATATTGCCACATCCTTGTAATCTTCTTGGAGCAAAAGCAAAACAATCCCTGTATCCCAAAAATCCCCCATGGCAGGAGGAGAACATAGTCATGGATGTTTGCCCCCAGCTGCCCAGGTGGTGGTCCCAGTGTTGACCCCCTCCTGCACCAGGACTCCTGCCAGCCCTGGCTGCTGGATCCTGCTCTTTCCCACTGTGACCCAGCTGTATCCCAATCCCTTTTCCAGTGCAAGCAGTCCTGGCCTTGCCACTGTCCAGGAACAAAGGCTCTGCCCCACATCGGCTGCTGCTTGTTGGCCACATCCAGCTTATTTTTTTTTTTTTTGTGCTTATTTTTAGAGTGTAGAAAAGCAGAACCGGTGTCAGGAAGGCAGGGTAGGACTTTGGGAGCCCTTTTTGTCCCCTGGAAATAAAAAGCTGTGGTTTCCTTCTCCATGTTCCCTCTGCTTTTAATCTTGCTCATCCTGGGAGGCTGAAGGTCCCCCCGGGGACCCATGGGGACACCACGGCTCCTCTCCCAGGTCTCTGCAGTGGGTGAAGCTGCTCTCAGACGTTCGGGCTCTGTGCCACCATTGCCAAAGATTCCTCACACAGGGTGTGCCAAGGGAAACACAGGAATCCAGCAGCAGGCAGGATGATGGGAGCCTGGACAAAGGAAGCAGTGAGCGAGAAATCCAGGGAAATGTGGCAGCTGCTGGCACAGCAGTGTTGTGCTGAGGGCTGACACTGGCAGTGAGCTGCAGGCTCTCACACCTTCTCTCATGTTCCCTGTGAGGATGGGGTGAGCTGGCAGCAGCTGGATCCCTCTGGATCCCACAGAAGCTGAGCTTTGGAAGCTGATGGGAGCAAACTCTTGAGCCTGCAGCCATGAAACCCTCAGAGGAACAAGCTGAGGAACCATTGGAGGCTTCACTGAGCCAGTGATGAGGGTCTCTCCAGAGTCCTGTGTCCCTGTTTCCCATGTGAGAAGCATCTAGGAAGGGCCATACCTGCCCAGCCTGGTTTTTCCATCACTGGCACAGCCAGGGGATCCAGCAAGGAATGGGGAAGTGGCAGGATTCGAGGCAAAGAAGCATCTCTGTGGGGCAGTGTTCCAGCTGAGCCTGGGGAAATCTTCCTCTGGGGCACCAGGGTGAGACCCCACTCTGTCACTGCTCTGCCATCCGTCACTGTCACAGTGTGATCAGTAGTTCAGCAGGAGCTGGGCACCCACCAGAAGGTGAGCCCTGTGGTGTCACCCCTCTGGGACAGTGGCAGTGTGGGGGACTGGTCGTGATTCTGCATCCCAGCCCTCTGTGGGGGATCCTCTTTCTCTTGCTGTAGCTCCAGCTGTTTCCTTAGCAAGGCCCATTGCTTTTATTTATCAGGAATTCTCCAGGCTAATTCCACTGCATGGAACAAACCCTGGTTTGTGCTGTTGTTTGTAAAAGCTCTGCCCTTCTGCTCCACGTGTGCTGGAGCCTCACAGGGAGTTTTGGTGTCAGCAGCACCAGAAACACGCTGGTCTTTGCAATGGGCAGTGTCCACCCTGCTCAGGCCTCAAGGTGCATTTCAGGGGATGTGCAGGGTGCTGGACCCCAGGCAGGTGGTGTGCAGGGCAGTCTCTGGATCTGGTGTAATTGGGAGTGTCAGACCCTGGCCCCTGCTGGCACTCCCAGGTAGGAAGGGCAGACACGGGGGTGCTGTGCTGAGCAGGGTCCTGCTGCTCCCCCTCTGTGGGGACAAGCCAGTGCCCCCCAAGTCACCTTGGTCTTGGTCCATGAATTGCCCTGACCGCCCCTGCTGTGGAGACAGCTGAGAGCTGGCAGAGAAGAGGAGGCTCTGATGAGACCTTCAGAGCCTCTTCCACTGCCTAAAGGGGTTCCAAGAGAGCTGGAAAGAGACTTTGGACTAGGACATGGAGTGGCCGGGTACAGGGAATGGCTTCCCACTGCCAGAGGGCAGGGTTAGATGGGATATTTGGAAAAAATTCTTCCCTGTGAGGATGGTGAGGCCCTGGCACAGGTTGCCCAGAGAAGCTGTGGATGCCCCATCTTTGGAAATGTTCAAGGCCAGGTTGGACAGGACTTGGAGCAACCTGGGATAGTGGAAGGTGTCCCTGCCCATGGCAGGGGGGTGGGATGAGATGGTCTTCAAGGTCCCTTCCAACCCAAACCATTCTCTTTTTAACTCCCTGCTACGGGCAGGGATGCCACCCACCAGACCAGGGTTAATCCTGGATTTCCCCTTGCTTTCCTGGTGGGGCTCCATTGGTGCTGCAACTGCTCATCCTGGTCCATCTGAGGGGGTAATTCTGAGTGCAGATCTGTAATTTCCTCTGCCTTTAGTAGCCACATATCACGTGGGAAGGTGTGTGTTCAGCTTTGGTGCTGAATCTGCCCACCCTGCCTGTTCTGGGCAGCTTCTGGGCACAGTGAGGCTTCTGGGGAGACTGAAGTGGCCCAATGTTCCTTTGGGAATAATGACAATTTATTATCAATGATTAAATTCTAGACACCCTGTGTGCTGTGGGAGGCATTAAGCCTTGGTGTGGGCACTAGGCAAGTCTGCAGCAGTCGGAAGAGGAGGAGGAAATGAGTTCCCCAGACATGAGGCCAAATCCAGGTGTCCCCACAGAGCCATTCCAGGCTGTGATGCTGGCAGCAGCTGCCTGGGGTGTGGTGTGGGGTGCTCTCAGGAGCCCCATGTGCTGGGCTGACACGTGCCATCTGCAGTGCTGGCACTTGCTGCTGTCAGTGGGCACAGAGGGACCCCAGCACAGAGCACTGTGGCATGAGGGTGACCTTGACATGAGTGGGGAAGATGCAGGTACAGCTGAGCTGATGCTGGGCACCCCTGGGATTATACCAGATACCACTGGACTGCAGGGAGGAATCACCCCTCTCAAATCTCCCTACATCCCTGCTCGAGAGCTGTGCTGCAGCCCGTGAGGTGCTGCTGGAGGGTGACAGAGAATCCTGGAGGATGCTCCTGCCAGCCTGAGGCCACGCACGGCTCTTGGTGGATGCTGATTCACGCTGCTGCAGTAGCAGAGCTTGCTGCCCACTTGGGAGCAGTGATCCAGCAGGACAGAACACTGCCTTCCCCTGCCCAGGTCATCTCCAGGCAAATCCATCCCAGGTGGGAGCAGCAGGATCCCCAAATCCTTCTTGCAGTGTCCCCGGGGTGCTGGCACCCCTCTGTCATGGGGCACTGTGCCTGCTGGGGCTTGGGACTTCACTGCACCAGTGCTCTGGGATTTTTGGTGCCCTGGTTTGGAGATCAGGGAGCAGCAAATCCTGGGCAGAGGAGGGACCTGGGCTGGCCAGTGTGGGCTTTGAGGTATCCTGGAAAAACAATAACCTAGGGTTGCAAATGTAGAAAGCTGCCCTGGGGTGAGCTGGATGTGCCCCCTTCCTGTTCTGCCTCCCCTGTTGTCCCACTCCTCGCGCTCCCCTGGAGCAGGGCCAGCAGCATGGAGTGTTTCCTGTCACCCATCGATTGTCTGTTGGCAGGTCCCATCTCCTGCATGGCTCTGCCAAAATCTGAGATAAATGCTGGCATTGTGAATAGGTCTGGGGATAGGGGGCCCCCCGTGCTGCCCCCATCCCTGTCACTCTATGGCAGTCTGGGAGCACAGTGGGGATCCCAGCGGTGCCATGGGATGCTGGGCAGGATGCGGGTGCTGAGCAGATGCTTCCCTCACTCCCTCACATCCTGCGTGTGCCCGAGGTGCTGCAAGGCTCTGGATCTGGCCTATTTATTTACAGGAAAGCGGGCTCTGTGTTTCCCTAGGGATTAGCAGCTGCTGCCTCATCATGCAGGGATCTGTTCTTCCTCACCTGATTTCACTGCTGAATGGGGGATTTGCACTTAATTAAGGCAAAGCAGGCACGAAGCCCACTGCAGGGAGAGCTGCCTGCCCGGGGAGCACCATGGCTGGGTCAGAGCCCTTGTACCCTCTCTGCCCCCAGTAATGCCCCCACTGCAGGCACTCTGTGTCCCTGTGGCATTTCCCTGCTTACTGACAGGGATGGGGATCTGGGAGCAGGGGGAGTTTTGTCCCATGATGGGAAAGGGGCTGCAGACTATGGGCAGGCATCTGCTCTGCTTCTGATCTGCCTTTTAAATTAAGAATACCCTTGCTCACAGGATCCTGGTGGGAGCACAGGCATGCAGCATTCTGGTATTTCTGGGCTATGGGAGACAAGCGGGAAGCACAGCCCAGATGTTCAGGGCATGTTGTCCTCATCTGTCCCTGTACTGGTGGCCCTGGGGGCTATACTGATGCCCTGGTGCCAGGGCTCACCCCACAGGGGCCCCATCTCATTCAGGGCCATTTTCCTGCCTTCACCTGCTCTCTCTGTTCCTTTGCCTGCAGTTCCCTGTGCCCAGGAGCCGTGGCACTGTGGCCATGTCCGTGCCGGGGAGCAGACGCGCGTCCACAGGATCACGAAGGTGAATATGCTTCAGCCTCTGGCCTCGGGACTGGACAGCAGCGCCTGCAGCCGGGATGAGACGATCCCCACGATCCCCACACCTCCACCACCAGCTGCCACTTCGCAGCACGAACCCCCAGCCCAGCTTTCGGGGGTTTGCATGGCACTGCCCGCTGCACAGCACTTCCCTGTCCGTGCATGCAGCTCCCCGAGTGCTGCACGCCCTGTCCCTCTGTCCGTCTGTGCCACAGCCAGGACCGACCCCTCCGTCCGTCCAGGCGAAGGCAGGCAGTGGTGGAGAGCACTGGGTTGGGGCAATGAAACTGGGAGGTATGTTAGCCCTTGGAAAATGTCTCCTTGAGCTGAGTGGTAAAGAGAGAAAAAGAGGGAAAAAGCATTTATTCCCCTGCCAATGTCTCCATGACCTGGACTGCCGTTATGGAGGTGCAGGCCCGGCGTGGGCAGGGAGAAGAGGCAGAGCTGCTCACGTCTAGGTGATGCTCTGGCAGATGTGGCTCGAGCCATGCTGGGATCATGCTCCCAGGGGACTCTTATGGGGCTCCCAAGGGGCTTCCAAGGGGATCCCAGGGGCTCCCAGGGTCCTCAGGGTGTGAGGATGCTGTGCCAGCATCCATGGGCTGCCACGCCAGGGAAGGGGGAGCGGGTGGACATCCCCCCCAGTCCTGCCTTTGTGCCCGTCGCCATGTCCGTGCAATTTTGATCCCTGCTGTTTGTTTTGTCCTTTTGTCTTGTGTGTTCTCGGTGTGGTGGTTGGCAGTCGCGGGGTTTATGGACGGAGTGGCTTTGCCTCCTTCTTTAAGTCTTCAGCGCCCTCAGCCACTCGGCCTGAGACACAGCCTCTTCTCCCTGCCTCCAGGCGCCCCTCGCCCCCCGGGAGGGACACCTACGGCACCTCCTCGCTGAGCAGCAGCAGCAATTCTGGCTCCTGCAAGGGCAGCGACAGCAGCCCCACCCCAAGGTAACCCATCACCCGTGGCCCCAGGGCGGCTGCTGGGTGCCCCCGGGCAGGGGGAGCAGTTCCCCGTGCTGCCGGTGCCGGTCCCAGCGGGGACAGGAGCGCAGGGGCCGCTGGAGCGAGGCTGTGCGCTTGGTGGCCGGGGGAGCCGGAGCTGCCGGAGCTGCTGGTGTGTCTCCAGAGACCCTCACTACCCTCCTCCTCCAAACCTCTCCGCCGCTGTTGTTGTGTCGTCTCCCTCCCTGTCCCCCCGCCTGCCACGCAGGGATCCCCCGTCCTCTTCCCTCCGTCCTGCTGTGGCTGTGGCTTGCACGCTGCACGCTCCCTCCCGCCGCTCCCGCATTCCAAGGAGCACCCGGATCCTTCCAGACCAAAGGCACGAGGGCAAGAGCTTCGCTTCCATCCCCTTGTGCTGCCCGGCAAAGGTTTGGCAAGAGCTGGTGGCCCCCTGGCTTCTCAGCAGGGAGCTCGGGGTGTGTTCGGGGCACAAACAGCCAGCACGGAGCTGTGGCGTGGGTGCCAGCCCCAGCCCTGCAGGCACAGCAGCCCGTGGTGGTGCACTGCTCATCACCTGCCTGAACCCTGCCCCGTGCCAGCCCCCAGAGGTGGAATCATTCTGGGAGGATCTGAGGGACCCGAGGGTGTCATGGTGAGCAGGTCCGATGCGTGCTGTTGCTGGGGCAGTGGCCTTCCTGCTGCCATGGGGCATTCCAAGGCATGGATGCTTCTCACACAATGCTTCTGGACATGGCTAAAGGCTGCTGGGCTGATGGACACCATGCAGGGGGGCTTTGGGACGCCTCCTTTCCATTCATAGGGAGTTTGGTCCCCCCACTGCCATGCCAGAGCCACTCGTGCTGTTCCCAGCTCTCCACGTGCCTCCCAGCTTGGGGAGCCCTGTCCCTGGCCAGCCCCTGCTCTCTGCACTGTCCCAGGCTTTGGGCCAGAAATGTCACTTCATCTGCCCCAGTGCCAGTGGTGGCATAAGGAGGGTCCAGACGTGCTGCTGGCCCAGCCCAGAGCGGATGCTGGATTCCCTGGCTTGCTCCCCATGGGCAGGACAGCCACTACCTCCAGACCTGCTCCATCCCAAACCCTTTCGTTCCCCATCTTGTGCCTCCATCTCTGGTGGGACCAATCCCACCCTGGGGTCTCCATCCACATCAGTTGTTTCCAGGAAGGTTGCTCTGGGCACACAGAGACCTTGGTGGCCCTGGTTCTGCTCATGGCCCAGCAAAGTCCCCAGCACACAGAGCACTCAGCACCTGACAGCAGCACCAGCTCCTGTGTCCAGGAGCTGCACCCACCCTCTGCCAGGGCACAGCACCGAAGACACCCTGTCTGTCCTGCCAGGGCACAGCACACAAGACACCCACCCTGTCTGTCCTGCCAGGGCACAGCACACCATACACCCACCCTGCCCCTCTCATCAGGGCACAGCACCCTCATGCACCCACTCTGCCCCTCCTGCTCTCAGGGCTCCTTTGGGATGTATTACAAGGCTGCACCCCAAGAACAGGCCTTAGAACCCCTGGGTCAAGCCTGTGCTGACCCTGGCACTGGCAGTGGGTGACATGTGTGTCCCTGCAGGCGCTCGTCCAAGTACAACCTCTGCAGTGACAACCATGGGATAAAGCCACCGACGCCGGAGCAGTACCTGACTCCCCTGCAGCAGAAGGAGGTCTGCATCCGGCACCTGAAGGCTCGCCTGAAGGACACACAGGAGCGCCTGCAGGACAGGTGAGCTCGTGGGAAGGGTGCCAGCACCAGCCATTGCCACCCACTGTGGCAGCTCCTGTCTGGGACCAGTCCTTCTGGGAGTCTCAGTTCCCAGCATGGCACCTTGTCCTCGTGCTCGTGCCCAGGGAGTGAGGTCACAGCTGTACCACGGCATGGCTGGCATGTGGGATCTGGCACTGCTGCCCGTCCCACCTGGGAGCTGCAGATTTGGGGACTGGAGAGCCCCACGTCCCACCTGCAGTGGCTGCGTTCTCCCCTCGCCCTGTTTAAGTCCCTGCCATGGTTTTGCTGAATTTCAGCGTCAGAGGGTGGCTAATCCCCATCTGCTCTCTCAGGCTTAGGCACGGCCCCGCCGCCGTGCCAGCTGCCACGCACCCGCCTGGGGCACCTGCCCATCCCCACGCAGCCCTCAGGAGACCTGGGCACTGCAGCCTCTCGGGGAGAAGGCTGAGCATCATTTGCAGGGATCCCTGAGCTCCCACTGCTCCAAACAGTGCTGCCAGGGGGTCCTGAGCATCAGTCCTGAGGGTTCCTGAGCATAAATCCTGAGAGTCCCTGAGTATCACTCCTGAGGGTTCCAAAGCATCCATCCTTGGGTTCCCTGAGCATCATTCCTGAGGGTCCCTAAGCATCACTCCTGGGGGTCCCTGAACATTGCTCCTGAGGCTCCCTGAGCATCACTCCTGAGGGTCCCTAAACCACTGGATCCATCCCTTGTTCCCAGTTGGGAATGTTACTGGGTGATCTGGTTGCAACCCAGTGCTGGGCACAGAGGACAGGGCTGTCCCTGCAGCCCCCTCAGCGCCGCGGTGGTGCCCTCCCGTCTCCGCAGGGATGCTGAGATCGAGGACCTGAAGACGCAGCTGTCACGGATGCAGGAGGATTGGATCGAGGAGGAGTGCCACCGCGTGGAGGCCCAGCTGGCGCTGAAAGAGGCTCGCAAGGAGATCAAGCAGCTGAAGCAGGTCATCGACACAGTGAAGAACAACTTACTGGAGAAGGACAAAGGCCTCCAGAAGTATTTTGTGGACATTAACATCCAGAACAAGAAGCTGGAGACGCTGCTGCACAGCATGGAGGTGGCACAGAACGGGGCGCTGAAGGAGGAGGGCGCCGGCGAGTCGGCCGGGGGGTCCCCGGCGCGGTCCCTCACCCGCAGCTCCACCTACACCAAGCTGAGCGACCAGGGAGCCGGGGACCGCAACGTGGGGGGCTCGCAGACCATCTCGCTGGACGAGGGTGCCGACAGCGGCTTCGTGGGGATGGAGGAGGCTCCGGGCCACACGGACCCGCTGGAGGTGGGGGGTGAGCCCGGCACCCGCCTGCCCCCCAGCAACACCTACGAGAAGGTGCTGGGACTGCGGAGCAGCGCGGAGGCAGGGGTGCAGGCCAGCTGCATGCAGGAGCGGGCCATCCAGACGGACTTCGTGCCCTGCCAGCCCGACCTGGACACCATCCTAGAGAAGGTGATGAAGTCCCAGGCTTGCAGCTTGGGCAGCCCCACCTCCGCCTGGGTCTCTGAAATGGAAGACACGATGCCCGTCCCCGAGCTCGCCAATCCCACCGGGACCACGGACCTGACGGTGGCCGAGCCCGACGCCGCGGCTGCCAGTGCCGAGGGGGGTGTCCCCTGCAACCCGGCGGTGCGGCAGCCCCCCAGCGCCAGCCCCTCGGTGGCCATCGCCTGCGTGGCGGAGGAGGAGCTGATGGAGGTGACCGGCTGCGAGACCAACCCTTCCAAGAGCTACTGGAGCCGCCACTTCATCGTGGATCTGCTGGCGGTGGTGGTGCCGGCGGTGCCCACGGTGGCCTGGCTGTGCCGCTCGCAGCGGCGGCAGGGCCAGCCCATCTACAACATCAGCTCGCTGCTGCGGGGCTGCTGCACCGTCGCCCTGCACTCCATCCGCAGGATGGGCTGTCGCCCCGTCGCCAGCCCCGGCCCAGGAGGCACTGCCCAGCCCTGACCCCTCCGACGCCCTCCACCCGCCCCCACGGACCCGACTGCTGATTGTAAAGCCCCGGCGTGGCTCCGGCGGGTGGGAAGGGGCCGAGGGGTCTGTGGGTGCATCGAGGTGTGCTGCCCGCCCCAGCTCCTCGAGGAGGGAAAGAACTGTTGTTGGAAGAGGGGTGTTGGCACCCAGCGTCACCCCCCGCCGATGGACACCCGTGCCTGTGCCTCTGGCTGCGGGGGGCTGTGGGGCTGCACCCGCCGGGGGGGCTGTCCCGCCATCGCAATTGCTTTTTGTTTGTCGCGGGGTTATCCCAGCCGTGCCACGGGCGGGTGATGGCGAGGAGCCGCTGGCAGCGTGGAGCGCGGGGGATGCAGCGGTTCCTTGCTGCAGGTGCAGTGTCTGTCTGTGGGCAGGGGGATGGGGGGTTCCTGTCCAGACACAGGGATCAGCTCCGGAGCGGTTCGGGCCAGCCCCCCATTCCCTAGGAGATGCCTCCCCACACTGGGATGGAACTGGGCTGCAGCTCACGCACGGAGCCCCCCGAGGAAGCCGTGGGCTCTCCCTCCTTTTGCTTTGCACTATATTCACTTTTTTTTGGGTACAGACTGAAGCCCGGCTGTTGGGACTCTGGCTGCCGGGAAGCGGGACCGGGGGCTCCTGCGGTTCTGTCAGCCGTGCTGCCGGTGATCCCACCACGTGCTGGAGCTCGGATGCCTTTGCTGGGGTGGGGCAGTGCCGTGCAGGCAGAGCCAAGCCCTTTGCCGCCCCGGCCCACCCAAACCCCCGCTTTGCTGGCGGCCTCCGGAAAAATGCCTTTTTTTTTTGTTGTTGTTGAAACACAAAGACAGCAAGGATTGCTCAGCGGGGCTGTTGGGGCGCGGGACTTGGGGCTCCCCCGGGCGCGCCGCACTCCCACCCCACGAATGTCTGTGGTTTCTTCGTGACTTGAACTAACAGTGTTTCCCCCCAACCCCAACCCAAGCCCACTCCCCCACCCGTGGGTGCCACCGGCCAGGTGCCCTGGCAGCCGGTGTCCAGTGGTCCCCAGAGGGGCATGTGCCACATCCTGTGTGCCCCACACTTCCCTGCATCCCCCTTCTGCCGGCTCTGCCCATGCTGGGGGGCAGTGGGGACAGGAACTCTGCCACCAGCACAGCACCAGGTGCCGGGGGAAGGATTTGGGGAGCAGCAGTGTCCAGGCAGCCGGGGCAGATGTAAGCGGAGCTGGGATATTCGCCTCTCGTGCAATGTGTTTGTGGATCTGTGTACACGTCTGTTAGGCTATCCAAAGCTTTGCCAAGAAATAAATGTAACGACTATATTTGAAAGACAAATCTATATAATATATTTTTTAAATACAGAACTGAAAAAGCTGTAACCCCCCTCTTCTTGTTTCCCCTGTCCTGTACTCGCTGTCTGTGGTGGATGTAATAAATGTCGCTGGGTCTGTGTCTGCTTTGGCTGGAGCCAGCCCTTGGCATCTGCCCTGAGGGGGTGGCCCAAGCAGGGACACGGGGACAGTGGGACCCTGGTACAGGACATCTGCCCCATCCTTGCTGAGGAGAGGAGGAACCACCCAGCAGCCACCAGACTCTGTAGGAATAAGGGGTTTTGTGCTAGAATAGCTCCTTTGGAGGTGCTGTGGGGTCCTCTCAGCAGGCCCTCTGGGCTTCCAGCATCAGCTCCCGGTACAGCAGCGATGGTGTCACAGGTCAGGGATGGAGTGGTCCATGGATGACTTCACCAGCCCTGATGAGAGCCTGAGCAGAGGGAAGGGAGGTCAGTGGGGGGAGCCCGGGGGTCCCTGTGGGGTGTGGGGGTCCTTGCAGCCCCACATTCTCACCGTTTGACCATGTGCTCATAGATCACGGTGGGGATGATGGTCAGTGTCACCACGTTCCCAGCCCCTGCCAGCACCTCCATGAGCTGCTTATCCTGCAGGAGAGAGAGGGGGGTCCAGAAGTGCCCAGCTTTGCTCAGTATCCCCCTCCCTCCTGGACTCTCTGGCCACATCCTGGACTCCCCAGGCATGTCCTGCACCCCCAGGGCACAGCCCTACCTTCATGCCGATGACATTCTGGCCGTTCACCTCGCAGATGCAGTGGTGGGTGAGGAGCCCGTTGCGGGCGGCCGAGCTGTCCTTGGCCAGCGACACAATCTTCCCCTTCTTCACCACGATGCCGATGTGGCCGGTGCTGTCCTTGTGCACGGTCACGGTGCGCTGGAAAGGCCTGCGGGGAGAGCACCGTCACTGCTGCCACCGGCACTGCCACCACCGCCGGTGCCAGCACCCACTCACCTGTCCCGCACCACCATGACGATTTTTTCAGGGTTCGCCTTCTTCAGCGCGCGCTGTGCCTTGTCGCTGCTCCAGCCCGCGCAGTTCTTGCCGTCGATCTGCAGCACCTGGTCCCCGAAGCGCAGCCCCACCAGCGCTGCTGGCGAGTTGGCCTTCACCAGCTGCACGAAGATGCCCTGGGGACACAGTGGAGTGGTGGCACAGGGCTGGCACAGGGACCAGTGGCCATGCCATGCCATCTGCACCCTGCTGCGCTGTGGCGCGCTGTGACATTTAATGCCACACGCTGCTGTGTTGTGATACACTGCCACGTCACGCTGTGCTCTACTGTCATGCTTGTGCCATGTCACATCATGCCATGACACAGTCCCGTGCCGTGCCCAGCCCCGTGCCAGCCCAGCCCCTCACCTGGTCGATGTTCTTCAGCTGCAGCCCCGTCTTGCCCCGCTCGTCCTTGCACAGGTGGATCTCCCGCACACCCGGCTTGATCTCTGCCCGCCGCAGCCCCGCGCTGTTCCCGCTCAGGGGGGCGACCAGCTGGCCCGGGGAGGGCCCGACGGGGGTCAGTGCCTGCGGGGGAGCTGGGGGTCAGTGGGGACAGGGGGACACAGGGCCCTGTGCACCTCAGCCCTTGGGAGTGATGCATCCCTTTCTCAGGCAGGATGAGGAACCAGAGGGACCCCCGTTCTGGCATGGGGGGGGAGCTGCCAGCCCAGACACCTACGGTGCTGTCCTCCGTGCGCAGGTTCTTCTGGATCTCCTCACTGGAGAGCGCCAGCCCCATGTAGTTCTCCAGCTCGGCTAGGTTGGGGTACAGCACAGGAGGCTCTGAGGGACATACCAAGGGTGGTCTCAGCTCCTGGGGCCCCCAACCCACAGCCATGGCTCCCTCCATCCCAGAAGCCCCCTTGGAACATGGGCCAGCAAAAAGAAACCCCAAAATCCCATCCCCAACCCACTGTGTTGTGGGAGGGGTCTCAGCTGAGCCCCCCCCCTCCCCCCGCCCCATTGAGCGTCACTGCCCACCCAGACAGCCCCTGCACAGGGTGAGCTGATCATGTCCCACCTTACCAGTGCCCGAGGTGAGCTTCGGCTTCTCTGTGACCACTGTGGTGGCAGGGGTCCTCACCCCAGCTGCTGCCTGTGCCTGCCAAGAGACAGGGTGCTCAATGCTGTGCCCCCCACCCTGGGGACCCTCTGAGGTGAGACCCCACAGGGACTCACTGGGGTCTGCTCATCCCTGTAACACTGCTGAGCTGGCACTGACCTGCAGGACCTGGTGGCCCTTCATGTCCTCCAGGGAGGGGTAGAGTGTTGCCATCGCTGCTGCTGTCTGGGGACAGGGATGGGCAGTTCAGGGACTGGGTTGCCTCTCTCCAAGCATCCCTCCCAGCCCGTACCGGAGATGGGCTGTCACCTGGAGTCTCCAGAGTGACTCAAGGCTATGTCACCAGGGCCACCACCACTTCCTGGTGGCTGGGACTCGGGTGGCTGTGTGCTGGGCAGGTCCTGCTCCCCATGCCCACCTGCCCCACAGAGCCATCTCAACAGCACCCAGAGAGGGGAGGGGGATATCCCATGGGAATGGCCCCTCTGCCCCTCATCAGACCCCTCTGCTCCCCATGCCCAGTTGAGCAGTGGGGCCATTCCAGCACTACCCAGACACGGCAGTGAGATGTCCCATGGGAACAGCCCTTCAGTTCACCATCAGTCCCCTCTGCATCTCCTGTTGTGCCCAAGGCTGTGCCTCCCAAACCTACTCAATGACACCTTGTGCCCCAAAAAGCATCATCCAAAACTCATTGTGTAGGTCCCAAATCCAGACCCAGCTCTGAGTCCTGTGGGAACCAGGCAGGATCCCACCTGCAGCCCAGGGATAGCAGCTCTTCCAACAGACAAGAGCTCCCAAGTCCAACCCTGGCACCCCAGACTCACCTGCCAACAGCTCCCAGATCCTTGTGACACCACCCTCTGCCTGGCTCCTGGGTTTTATAGCCGGGCCCAGCCCAGGGAGGGGCCAGACAGGCTCAGCTGATTGCACCCCCGCTAGGTAGGGCACAGGTGAGGAAGAGGAAGGTGAAGCCAACAAAGCACAGAGCCCTGGCACTGCAGGGGTGGGACAGGGATTGGAATGGGGACTGGGATGGCTTTCTGTAGGTTCGGGCATCCTGGGGGAGCAGGGATGGGACTGTACCCCCCCATGGTGCCCTCCCCCCGCAGTGCATCACCTCTCCTGCCACCCCCAGCATGTGGCTTGGCCCCTGACTGGGCTGCCCCCCACCCCCATTATCCTTCCTGGGCTCCTCAGCCCTGCTGGGGGGGTGAAGGGGGCTGCCCACCGTGATCCCCTGCGTGGGTGGCTGCGCTGACACCTCGCTGCCCCGGCGCGTGGGGCTGACGCGGCCGTGACCAGGATCCCGTGTCCCACACCCTTCCCAACGTCACCTGGGACACGTGCCAGGTGTGGGAGTCCCATGCTGCGGGTGGAGAAACTGAGCCAGCACAGAGCTCAGCATGGGGTGGCTGTGCCATCCCATCCTGCTGCCATGGGCCATCACCCTGTCACCAGGGGATCCAGCCCTCCAGCAGCCAGCGGTGACATTCTGCTGTTGGCATTGAGGATGCCATGGGCCACCCTGTCCCCAGGGGCTGGGCAGGGGGATGCTGAGGGTGCTCGGGCAGGCCTGGACCTGGTGGCACCAGCCCAGATCTCCCTGGCACAGAGCCAGTCCTACTGTGGAGCCACAGCCAGGCACGTCCCAGCTCCCTGTGCTCCGCTCCAGCGTGCCAGGCCAGGAGGAAGTGTTTTATTTACTGGAGGTATTTTTAGCTGGATGGTGCCCAGCTGCCTTGACCAGCCCAGGACAAGAACACCAGTGGCAGAGAGAGTCCTACACAGACACAGAGGATTGTTTCCTGGAGTCTGTTAATTCCCTGAAACCCTCATCCCCACAAAACCACAGCTGTAAGGACTCACACCCCACCTGCACTCATGGATGCTTCAGGAGCTGAGCAGGGGCTGAGGGCCCAAGGGCAGGGGGCTTCCCTCAGCCTCCCCCCTGCCCTGGCTTAGCCCCAGCCATGGCACTGCCTGGCACTGGTTAATAATTAAAGCAAAAAGCTTCGCAGGAAGAGAAACAAAAATTGGCCTCAAGCTTCCACCTAGGAACAGCCACAGCTAAGGACAGAGCAGGGTGCCCCACAAGCTCCGGTTCTGCTTAACTGAGCAGCAATTAAGGGCAGTGCTAATTCCTGCACGGCCCTGTGCAAGCACCACTGCTCCTAGATGCATCCCAATGGCTGAGCTGCTCCTGCCCCAGGGCCACTGCTCCCTCCAGGACCCATTGCACACAAACTTTGCTTGGCAGCTGGGACAGGCTGTGTTATTGATCGTGGCTGTGTTATCAGTTGTGGCACACTGATCAAAGGTTGTCAGCAGAGGAACAAGGCACTGGCCCACAGTGGCACCTGGGCAGGTCCTACATACACAACACCCACAGCAGCAAAGCCCAAAGCAGGTGATGTGCTGTGCCCTATGTGCCATGTCCAGATTTCAAAAAGGACTGAAAAAAATCCAGAAAGGTGTAAGGAAAGGCTTCCCCGGAGCTGCAAGGACCATGGGAACATGCATCCATCTATCATTTGTGCTTCCAGTCCAGGTTGAGTCACAGCCACAAGGGCACGAGGCTGTGAGGGCAATGCTTAATAGGTTATGGTGAGGCAATTAATTATGCAAATTCCAGCAGGCCGCCATCACCTCCCCACAGAGCACAGGAGCCCCAGGCACCCTATTGTGCTCCGGGAGCACCTGAGCCTCACACTGAGGCACAGCAGCACAACCCTGGCACAGCACTGCACGAGCCTGGCACTGCACCCAAAGCACCCCATGAGCCTGGCACAGCACCCCAAAAACCCAGAGCAGCACCCACAGCACCCCACACAGCACCCCCTGAGCCCAGCCCCAGCTGTGCTGAGCAACAGACGAGCGAGGGAAGAACCTCCAGGACACGGGGCTGAGAAAAGCCAGCATAAAGC